GGGGTAGTAGTTGTCATTGTTTGGCAGGCCTGGGCTGGGTTTGAACCTGCCAGCTCTGGTATATGTTGGGTGCCGCCCTAGCTGTTGAGCTACAGGCGCCGAGCCTGTAATAACTTCTTCTTCTTCTTCTTCTTTTTTTTTTTTAGAGACAGAACCTCACTTTGTCACCCTCGGTAGAGTGCTGTGGCATCACAGCTCACAGCAACCTCCAGCTCTTGGGCTTAGAGCAATTCTCTTGCCTCAGCCTCCTGAGTAGCTTCCACTAAAGGTGCCTGCTACAATGCCCGGCTATTTTTGTTGTTGTTGCAGTTTGGCTGGGGCGGGTTTGAACTCGCCACCCTGGGTAAATGGGTCCCGCGCCCTACTTACTGAGCCACATGTGGTGCCCTTCTAACTGAGCTGCAGGCGCCCCACTGTAATAACTTCTTAATGGTCCCCTTTTCACACCCCTTGGATAAATCCCTTGCTTTAAATGTCTTTATTTTAGCGTTCCATAGCACCGTAGGGTTGTTGCAGGAAAACTAGGCCCCAATATCCATGTTTAAAAGGGGAGTGGCTGTGGCTAGTGCCCTCTCTAGCCCACAGTCTCGATGGCCGTAGCTTTTTGTGTGCCGGGTGAACAAGCGGGCGGTTGCGGGGCGGGGGGAGCAGGAAAGGAGGGGAGTTCCGGTTCCGGTTGTTTGTTAAGCTGCGGGGTTAGCTCCAGGAAGATGTCGTTCTGGGAGCGTTTCCAGCTTGTGGCTCCAAGCGGTGGCGCCGAAGCCGGTGAAGGAGCGAGCAGGGCTCCCGGTCAAGGGCTGTACCGTTTCCTGATACCCAGAGTGGTCTATCTGAGACCAGCTATGCTGCCCGGCAGCCAAATGATACCTCAGGTACCGTCCATGGAACCCTCTGGCTATGGGGGGAACCCTTCAGTTCCACCTGGTCTGGCTCAGTCAGGGGTGGACCAGTCCCGGAAGAGACCTCTGCCTCAGCCGATCCAGGAGGTCCAGGAGGTCCCGGAGGTCCGGGAGGTCC